AAATTGATAACAAGGTTAAATTTAATTTAAAAGTGACATTTTCATATTTTGTTATTACTTATTTATTCAATTTTAAATTTCTTTATTGCAAGTTCACCATTTAAAAGTATATTCTATTGGATGAAGTTTTATAGTAATAGTGGATAAAACTCAACTTTGAAAAACAGTGAAAAAGGAATTGTTGTCTCAAAAATTAAAAAGGTAATCTAATAATATAGTCATAAAAATATCTTATAACTATATAAAAAAATATAGTTATACCATTTTCTCATTTAGATCAATTCTAACTCATATTTTTAATAATATTAGGACACTTGAAAATGCAATATCAAGTAATATCTGTCATATTAACAACTTTTATGCAAAACAAAATATCTTCATTTTTTAGGTAGTCTTGTTTTTTTTTCATATACTATAAAAAATTACATAAAATGTTAATATGTCATATTAATACATGACATTGTATTATTTATTTTTGTAGTTTTAAAGTTAAAGAAATTATGGATAACGTATTCTATTTGTATTAATATTATTTTCATCAAAGTTTTCTATATATGGTAAAGATACTTCATATTTTTTGCGATGTTAAAAGGCTGTTGGATTTAATTCACAAATTTCTCTTTTGATTTTATCATTAATAGTCTTAATAGTTTCTTGAATATTTTTACTTTGTAATTGTTCTTCTATTCTTTTATATTGAATTTCTTTTGATAAAAAATTAATATGTTTACATTTACTTTCTATAATACTTGTTGCATTTTCTTTTAAAAGATTGACCTAGGGGATTAGGTAGTGAAACCGTTGGTCAGCCATGAAAAGAAGTAAAGCCTTTACCACTCTTAAAGAACAATCAAAAATGTCAAAAATCTTTGAAACTATTAGCAGTTTAGAAACCAAGAACAAGAATAAACAAATAATTATGAGAACACTAAGTATAGATAGTGAAGCCTCATCATCAAATCAATTAGATCAAGAACTCAAAATAGCATAAATAGAAAACTCATTACACAACTGGTCAATACCTATAGTAAAAAAATGTGAAGTATATAAGCAACATAGTATATGGTCAACAAGTCAAGATGAAATCCATACTCTAGAATATAGTTACCCAAGAACAAAAACCAACAAAATTGTTAATTTAATTGAACAAACCTTATTAGATGAACATATAAAAAAAGGATATAATTTTATGCATCTAGGATTAATCCAAGTAGCTGTTAAACCTAATTATAGATTAGGTATAAACAGTCCAATATTATTATTACTTCGAGATATTAGGATGAAACAATTTCAAGACTCTATTATTACAATACTAGAAAGTAACCTACATGATGGCCCTGCCTTTTATAATTGTTATCCAAATTTTTCAATGGATATTAAAAATGAAAAAATAAGTAAATCATTAAAATTATATGTTAAAATTCCTGATGAAATTTTAGATGAAGAATCTGGACCAATACAAATTATTGTTAGATTATATTATAAAATTACAAAAATTGATTATAATTACAAAGCTCTTAGGTCTTCACCTAAGAATGAAACCGTAATAGTTGAAGCAAACCTTAAAAAATCTTCAATACAAGTACCCAGGTGTCTTAGTCATGCTGTAGTTATTTCAAAAATTCCAGAAGATTGGTTATTAGAAGATATTATAGAAGAATCAAAAATCTACAATACTCAAGTTAGAGAAATTATTCAAGATGGTACAGATATTAGATTAAGGATAAATAGATCAACATCTTTCAAGAATAATTTACCACAAATGATTTTTAAAGGTAATAATGCGAGACATTCAGTTGATGGATCCACTATTAATATAGATTTAACTAAATTAGATATTAATTCCAAAATAACTAAACCTGTTCATACTCAAAACAATGAAGAAGATGATTTTAATCCCTCTGCCTCTCAAGTCCTCAACACTATTACAAGACAAGAACCTTTTCAAATTGATAAAGATTGGATTAATCAAGACTTTAAAGCTAATTATAATAAAGATTTAAGAGAATGGTATTTTTCAAATTTCACTCAAGAAGAAACTATTAATCTTAAAAATAACTATTATTCTTTTATGGAAGAAAATGAGATTAATGTTTATTTCTTTGATTGGTTAGAAAACCATTGTAAAGAAAACAATATTATTAAATCTATAAATCCTTTAACAAGAAATAATAAAACCCGGAAAACAACAAATAATGAAATTATTATTTCCGAATATCCTCCTTTGACTACTATTAAAATAAAAATAGATAATGAAGAAGTAAAAGCAAGTCCATACAAAACTATTAATGAATCAGAAAAAGAAGTTAGTAAAAAAGATATTAAAAAAATTCATAATCAAATAAATTTTTCTAATAGTATGTTAGAAACTATGTCAAAACAATTAACTTAAAAATAAAGACACTCCCTCTAGTAGCATAGTTAACAGTATTCCAAAACCATTAGTCAAGCCAATATATCAATTAAACACACACATAGATTCATTAAAATTAGGAAATGAAAGTGATTCAAAAATTGAAGAGATTAAAGAATTATTATCCAAATTAACATTAGGAAAACCTTCAATAAACACAATAGATACAGATGATTTTTCGATTAATAAAATTAAAACTCATTATGCAAAAACTACAACTTATTATCCAAGACCTTCTCCAGCAGATGTTCTTTATGAAGAACGAGGAGAAGTAGTTCAAAATAGTTATTCAGGAAGTAACATCTGTGAATGGAACATAGATGGAATGAGTGAACAAAATATATTAGATTTTATATGTCAAATGTCTATGGCCGCTAGTGCCTACAAAAGACGAGGAAATTCTGATAAAGCAACAGCCATGACTTTAGTCCAAGGATTTACTGGCCAACTTAAAGGTTGGTGGGATAAGTTTTGGACACAAGCTGATAGAGAAGCCATATTAAATGTCGTAAAACACGAAATAAGAGAAGAGGATGCAGTTGCTACCCTCATCTATACAATAATTCAACATTTTGTAGGAGATCCCAATACCTTTAAAGATAGAGCGGCTAGCCAGCTAGCTAATCTCTATTGCTCAACTATGTCTGATTACCGATGGTATAAAGACGTATTTATGTCCAAAATTACATTAAGAGAAGACAGATTTTAAGGATTTTGGAAAGAAAGATTCCTTGCAGGATTACCCAAATTAGTCTGCAATGACTTTAAATTTCAAAATAAACTTTGAAAAGAAACAGGAAGCAATAAAAGAGAAATAGGAAATTTTTGTGAACAATATGGAGTAGAGCTTATTAGAGCACCTAGTGCAGTTAAGAGAAAAAACCAAAGAAAACAAGTCCCTTCTCAAAAACCTTATAAAAAATCTTATAATAATTATAAAAAATCCTATAAAAAATCTTTCAAGAAAAACAAAGATTATTCTGAAAAACCCAAAACTTTTAATAAACCTAAATCCACAAAAAAGAATATTACTTGTTGGAAATGTGGAAAAGCAGGCCATTTTGCCAATAAATGCAAAACTCAACAAAAGATTAATGAATTAGAAATAGATGAGTCATTAAAGAAAAATTTAATCGCAATAATGATTAATTCTGAATCAGAAGAAGATGATTCTACTTCTGAAGAAGAAAGCAATATTGAAATAATTTATCAATTAGAGGAAGACTCTAGTTCAAGTCAATTATCTCAAGAAGATGATTGTTGTTTAGGACCATACCTTTGTACCTGTAATGATTGCAAAACAATTAATATGCTTACAGTAGATCAAACCCATGCACTAATAGAATTAATATCCCAATTAGAACATGGACCAATTAGAATAGAACTCATTAGTAAATTAGAAGAATTATTAAAAAAGGATGAAAAAGAACAAGAAGAAATTAAAGAAATAGATTTAAAAGAAATCTATTCAAGATTTAGACAACCTTCTCCTATTACTATTAAAGACCTACAAGACGAAATTAAAATATTAAAAACAGAAATAACTAATTTAAAACAAGACAATATTTCTATAGAATATAGACTATTAGAATTATAAGGAAAAGAAAAAATTAGAGAACAACAAAATCTTAATATTGATAAGCCTTCTAATTCAACACCACCAAAAGAAGACATTAATTATTTAAATCTAATTACAACTCATAAATGCCATTGTAATATTAAACTATTAGTAAAAAATGAAGAATTCAATATAATTGCATTAATAGATTCAGGAGTAGACATTAATTGTATACAAGAAGGAATCATTCCTTCTAAATATTATGAAAAAACCACTGAAAAGGTTTTAAGTGTCAATAACTCACACATGAAAATTAATTATAAACTATCCTCTGCAAAAATTTGTAAAAACAAAATTTGTTATGAAACTTCCTTTGTATTAGTTAACAATATGAATATTTCTTGCATATTAGGAACCCCATTTCTATCATTATTATATCCCTTTAAGGTTACATCAAAAGGATTAGAAACTCAAGTTTTAGGAAATACATTATGCTTTGAGTTTATACATCCTCCAAAAACAAGAGAATTAAATCTTTTAAAAGAAAATGCAACAAGTATTATAAAAACTAAACGTAAACATATTAATTTTTTATCAAAATAAATTCAATATAAAAGAATAGAAGAACAATTACAAAGTAAAAATATTCAAGAAACTATTAAGACTATTAATGATAAAATCGAAAGATAAATTTGTGAATTAAATCCAACAGCCTTTTGGCATCGCAAAAAATATGAAGTATCTTTACCATATATAGAAAACTTTGATGAAAAGAATATTAATACAAAAGCAAGACCTATTCAAATGAATTCACAATACTTAGAATATTGCAAAAAAGAAATCCAAGAATATTTAGAAAAAGGATTAATTAGACCATCAAAATCCCCTTGGAGTTTTTAAAACTGTGTTCTCAAAACTGTGTTCGTTGTTGTTTTTATTTCTTTTTCATGACTCATGAGGATGATGGATTTCATGTTTCTAACAAACTATTTTGCTTCATTATTGTGTGGATTCAAAAATGCATATAATATGGTTTTTCACAAATTCGGTAAGAAGCTATACTCAGGGCTGGTCACCACTGTGACTGCTCATCTCAAAGAGATAGCTAGGTCTATTAAAGCCACTCTAGAAGGCTCTTTTCTGGAAGAAATGAACAGGAAATGGAGTGATCATAATAAGGCATCAGATATGATTAGAGACATTATGATGTACATGGATAGGACTTACATCCCGGATGCTGGTAAAACCCCTCTTCATCAACTTGGCTTGAATTTGTGGAGAGAGAATGTTTATGTATTCAAACCAGATAAGGACCCGACTGTAAAATACACTTTTGAAATTGGTGTGTGGTGAACGTGTTGGGGAAGTTATTAATAGAGGGCTGTTTAGAAATATAACAATGATGTTAATGGATTTAGGTCCTTCTGTTTATGAGCAAGAATTTGAGACTCATTTTCTTCAAGTTTCAGCTGAGTTCTACCGAGCAGAATCCCAAAAGTTTATTGAGTGTTGTGCTTGTGGTGATTATCTAAAGAATTCTGAGAAGCGTCTGACTGAGGAAATGGATAGAGTGAACCATTACTTGGATCCCGGGACAGGAAAGAAAATAACTAATGTGGTAAAGAAGGAGATGATTGAAAATTACATGCTTATATTAATACATAAGGAGAATTCTGGGTTGGTAAGCATGCTTTGTTATGATAAATATGATGATTTGGGTAGAATGTATAACCTGTTCTGTCATGTTACTGACGGTCTCTCATAAATATGATGATTTGGGTAGAATGTATAAATATGAGAGACCGTCAGTAACACGACGGAACAGGTTATACATTCTACCTAAATCATCATATTTATCATAACAAAGCATGCTTACCAACCCATAATTCTCCTTATGTATTAATATAAGCATGTAATTTTCAATCATCTCCTTCTTTACCACATTAGTTATTTTATTTCCTGTCCCGGGATCCAAGTAATGGTTCACTCTATCCATTTCCTCAGTCAGACGCTTCTCAGCATTCTTTAGATAATCACCACAAGCACAACACTCAATAAACTTTTGGGATTCTGCTCGGTAGAACTCAGTTGAAACTTGAAGAAAATGAGTCTCAAATTCTTGCTCATAAACAGAAGGACCTAAATCCATTAACATCATTGTTATATTTCTAAACAGCCCTCTATTAATAACTTCCCCAACACGTTCACCACACACCAATTTCAAAAGTGTATTCAACAGTCGAGTCCTTATCTGGTTTGAATACATAAACATTCTCTCTCCACAAATTCAAGCCAAGTTGATGAAGAGGGGTTTTACCAGCATCCGGGATGTAAGTCGTATCCATGTACATCATAATGTCTCTAATCATATCTGATGCCTTATTATGATCACTCCATTTCCTGTTCATTTCTTCCAGAAAAGAGCCTTCTAGAGTGGCTTTAATAGACCTAGCTATCTCTTTGAGATGAGCAGTCACAGTGGCGACCAGCCTTGAGTATAGCTTCTCACCGAATTTGTGAAAAACCATATTATATGCATTTTTGAATCCACACAATAATGAAGCAAAATAGTTTGTTAGAAACATGAAATCCATCGTCCTCATGAGTCATGAAAAAGAAATAAAAACAACAACGAACACAGTTTTGAGAACACAGTTTTCAAAACTCCACGGGGATTTTGATGGTCTAATTAATCCTTTTTCTAAATATTCTTGGATTTCTTTTTTGCAATATTCTAAGTATTGTGAATTCATTTGAATAGGTCTTGCTTTTGTATTAATATTATTTTCATCAAAGTTTTCTATATATGGTAAAGATACTTCATATTTTTTGCGATGTTAAAAGGCTGTTGGATTTAATTCACAAATTTCTCTTTTGATTTTATCATTAATAGTCTTAATAGTTTCTTGAATATTTTTACTTTGTAATTGTTCTTCTATTCTTTTATATTGAATTTCTTTTGATAAAAAATTAATATGTTTACGTTTACTTTCTATAATACTTGTTGCATTTTCTTTTAAAAGATTTAATTCTCTTGTTTTTGGAGGATGTATAAACTCAAAGCATAATGTATTTCCTAAAACTTGAGTTTCTAATCCTTTTGATGTAACCTTAAAGGGATATAATAATGATAGAAATGGGGTTCCTAATATGCAAGAAATATTCATATTTTTAACTAATACAAAGGAAGTTTCATAACAGATTTTGTTTTTACAAATTTTTGCTGAGGATAGTTTATAATTAATTTTCATGTGTGAGTTATTGGCACTTAAAACCTTTTGAGTGGTTTTTTCGTAATATTTAAAAGGAATGATTCCTTCTTGTATACAATTAATTTCTGCTCCTGAATCTATTAATGCAATTATATTGAATTCTTCATTTTTTACTAATAGTTTAATATTACAATGCCATTTATGAGTTGTAATTAAATTTAAATAATCAATGTCTTCTTTTGGTGGTGTTGAACTAAAAGGCTTATCAATATTAAGATTTTGTTGTTCTCTAATTTTTTCTTTTCCTTCTAATTCTAATAGTCTATATTCTATAGAAATATTGTCTTGTTTTAAATTAGTTATTTCTGTTTTTAATATTTTAATTTCGTCTTGTAGGTCTTTAATAGTAATAGGAGAAGGTTGTCTAAATCTTGAATAGATTTCTTTTAAATCTATTTCTTTAATTTCTTCTTGTTCTTTTTCATCCTTTTTTAATAATTCTTCTAATTTACTAATGAGTTCTATTCTAATTGGTCCATGTTCTAATTGGGATATTAATTCTATTAGTGCATGGGTTTGATCTACTGTAAGCATATTAATTGTTTTGCAATCATTACAGGTACAAAGGTCTGGTCCTAAACAACAATCATCTTCTTGAGATAATTGACTTGAACTAGAGTCTTCCTCTAATTGATAAATTATTTCAGTATTGTTATCTTCTTCAGAAGTAGAATCATCTTCTTCTGATTCAGAATTAATCATTATTGCGATTAAAGTTTTCTTTAATGACTCATCTATTTCTAATTCATTAATCTTTTGTTGAGTTTTGCATTTATTGGCAAAATGGCATGCTTTTCCACATTTCCAACAAGTAATATTCTTTTTTGTGGATTTAGGTTTATTAAAAGTTTTGGGTTTTTCAAAATAATCTTTGTTTTTCTTGAAACATTTTTTATAGGATTTTTTATAATTATTATAAGATTTTTTATAAGGTTTTTGAAAAGAGACTTGTTTTCTTTGGTTTTTTCTCTTAATTGCACTAGGTGCTCTAATAGGCTCTACTCCATATTGTTCACAAAAATTTCCTATTTCTCTTTTATTGGTTCCTGTTTCTTTTCTAAGTTTATTTTGAAGTTTAAAGTCCTCAATTTCTAACCTCAACTTGTATTTTTGCTTCCAACATGATTCTTCAATATTCTAATTGATGTTGTTGATGTATATGTATTCTCAATTTGTATATTAACTAACCTTATGGCTTTTGGATTGTCCATGGTTCCATAGGAACCTTAGGGGGTGTAAGTATTAAGTTAATATGGGATAATTGAGATAAGCATGCATGTGGGAATGTGAAATCTGTTGGATTTGAGTAATTGATGATTAAATTGTATAGTAATAGGTTGTAATTTGACATCTTAGCGATTGGATTTGAATTAAAGGTGTTAAGGGATGGTATAGGAAAAGTTAAAATCCTATGAATAGTATAATATTGTGTTGTACCTCGCTCAAGCAAACTTTGATTCGCTCAATGCGGATTTAGTTCGCTTCAAGTTATCTTAGGCTCGCTCAAGTAAGTCCTGACAAAGATTTTAGGGTAACAACTCACTTTGAGTGAATTTTAGCTAGGTTTAAGCAAGTTGACCTAGCTTAAGTGAATGATTGGCTCGCTTAGGCGAGTAGATGGCCAAATTTTCTTTTGCGATCTTCATGAAATTTATAACCCTAGATGCTAAGTTTCAAATTTTGTTAGAATCACCTAAAAAGGGAGTCTAAAACGCAAGTTATAGATTGTCTTAGTTTTCTAACAAAATTAAGATCAACTTGATAACATGTTGGAACCACTTGAGGTCATACAAGATTGAGTTATGGAAATACAGCTATGAGTGGTGATGGTGAATGACTTTATCCTTTAAGTGTATGATCTTATGAATGGTTTAAAGTACATGTATCAATGTTTAAGAAAGATAAATAATAGGAGAAAATAATTGTGAATAAATTATGATGTGAGTTAATTGTTAAAGGCTTTAAGTGTTTTAGTGATAACAATGCTTAAGAAATTAGTGTGTGATATCAATAATGTTGCGAAGCTAGTTAATTATTAATTTAAATGCTTAGTTTGATGTTAATATTATGGTTGATGTGTTAACATATGATTAGATGATTTCATGATGATTCTACCTTGAGGTGTTATCGGACGATATTGTGAACATTGTGTAATTGAACTATGAAATGTAATTCTTGTGGAATATAATGTATTGTACTTATGTTGGCCTAGTAGTGATATGAGTAATGTGTGTATGTTGTGTAATTATGATAATGTGATGACATTATATTGCATCGGGTCTTGTGAGACATGCATTATATGCATAAATGTTTTTTATGGGTACAATATATAGTATGTTTTCAAAGAATGTCTTCCTTATGTAAAAGTTTGGGGATTCATGACTTCATAGACAGTTGGATTTAGGAATCCCCATTTTTCTTGCTTGTGAGCATGGGGTGGAACTTGCGCAACACAGTCGTCTTGACGAGCTCGTGGTGTATCTCCTCTTAGTATAAGTGAGATCAGGGTGTGACTTAGCATGTCCTCTTAGGCTACTCTGTGTGCCTCTAGGCAAGGGACAACGCAATGTGATTTTTTACTAGTGCCACAAACATATGCACATTGATATATGTATCCATTGCATTATATTTGTTAATGTATAATCATGTAGTGAACCTTTAAATTAAATAATTATTTTATAATAAATTTATTAAATAATAATAATATTTTAACAATTCGGACGATGAATTGAAATACGTTTCGGCTTATGTAACAATGCTCTGATTCCGGAACAGCCCGTTCAAAGCTACTAAATCACCCCTATTACCTTTGTAAAATTACCAAAATACCCTTAATTAAAAATAAATAAATAAAAAGTGAAATAAAAATTGGGGTGTTACAAGTCATTGCAGGCTTGTATTCCAGTATCAATAATTATACTATGAATCTGTCCGTAGGTAAGAGTATTGAAAGGTATTGGTTTTCCAAAATGACTTTCTAATCTTATTTTAACTTTTTCTGAAAATAATTTGGGCAATCCTGCAAGGAATCTTTCTTTCCAAAATCCTTGAAATCTGTCTTCTCTTAATGTAATTTTGGACATAAATACGTCTTTATACCATCGGTAATCAGACATTGTTGGGCAATAGAGATTAGCTAGCTGGCTAGCCGCTCTATCTTTAAAGGTATTGGGATCTCCTACAAAATGTTGAATTATTGTATAGATGAGGGTAGCAACTGCATCCTCTTCTCTTGTTTCGTGTTTTACGACATTTAATATGGCTTCTCTATCAGCTTGTGTCCAAAACTTATCCCACCAACCTTTAAGTTGGCCAGTAAATCCTTGGACTAAAGTCATGGCTGTTGCTTTATCAGAATTTCCTCGTCTTTTGTAGGCACTAGCGGCCATAGACATTTGACATATAAAATCTAATATATTTTGTTCACTCATTCCATCTATGTTCCATTCACAGATGTCACTTCCTGAATAACTATTTTGAACTACTTCTCCTCGTTCTTCATAAAGAACATCTGCTGGAGAAGATCTTGGATAATAAGTTGTAGTTTTTGGATAATGAGTTTTAATTTTATTAATCGAAAAATCATCTGTATCTATTGTGTTTATTGAAGGTTTTCCTAATGTTAATTTGGATAATAATTCTTTAATCTCTTCAATTTTTGAATCACTTTCATTTCCTAATTTTAATGAATCTATGTGTGTGTTTAATTGATATATTGGCTTGACTAATGGTTTTGGAATACTGTTAACTATGCTACTAGAGGGAGTGTCTTTATCTTCTATTCTAGTTAATTGTTTTGACATAGTTTTTAACATACTATTAGAAAAATTTATTTGATTATGATTTTTTTTAATATCTTTTTTACTAACTTCTTTTTCTGATTCATTAATAGTTTTGTATGGACTTGCTTCTACTTCTTCATTATCTATTTTTATTTTAATAGTAGTCATAGGAGGATATTCGGAAATAATAATTTCATTATTTGTTGTTTTCCAGGTTTTATTATTTCTTGTTAAAGGATTTATAGATTTAATTATATTGTTTTCTTTACAATGGTTTTCTAACCAATCAAAGAAATAAAAATTAATCTCATTTTCTTCTATAAAAGAATAATAGTTATTTCTAAGATTAATAGTTTCTTCTTGAGTAAAATTTGAAAAATACCATTCTCTTAAGTCTTTATTATAATTAGCTTTGAAGTCTTGATTAATCCAATATTTATCAATTTGAAAAGGTTCTTGTCTTGTAATAGTGTTGAGGACTTGAGAGACAGAGGGATTCAAATAATCTTTTTCATTGTTTTGAGTATAAACAGGTCTAGTTATTTTGGAATTAATATCTAATTTAGTTAAATCTATATTAATAGTGGATCCATCAATTGAATGTCTCGCACTATTACCTTTAAAAATCATTTGTGGTAAATTATTCTTGAAAGATGTTGATCTATTTATCCTTAATCTAATATCTGTACCATCTTGAATAATTTCTCTAACTTGAGTATTGTAGATTTTTGGTTCTTCTATAATATCTTCTAATAACCAATATTCTAGAATTTTTGAAATAACTTCAGCGTGACTAAGACACCTGGGTACTTGTATTGAAGATTTTTTAAGGTTTGCTTCAACTAATACGGTTTCATTCTTAGGTGAAGACCTAAGAGCTTTGTAATTATAATCAATTTTTGTAATTTTATAATATAATCTAACAATAATTTGTATTGGTCCAGATTCTTCATCTAAAATTTCATCAGGAATTTTAACATATAATTTTAATGATTTACTTGTTTTTTCATTTTTAATATCCATTGAAAAATTTGGATAACAATTATAAAAGGCAGGGCCATCATGTAGGTTACTTTCTAGTATTGCAATAATAGAGTCTTGAAATTGTTTCATCCTAATATCTCGAAGTAATAATAATATTGGACTGTTTATACCTAATCTATAATTAGGTTTAACAACTACTTGGATTAATCCTAGATGCATAAAATTATATCTTTTTTTTTTATATGTTCATCTAATAAGGTTTGTTCAATTAAATTAACAATTTTGTTGGTTTTTGTTCCTGGGTAACTATATTCTAGAGTATGGATTTCATCTTGACTTGTTGACCACTATGTTGCTTATATACTTCACATTTTTTTACTATAGGTATTGACCAGTTGTGTAATGAGTTTTCTATTTCTTCTATTTTGAGTTCTTGATCTAATTGATTTGGTGATGAGGCTTCACTATCTATACTTGGTGTTCTCATAATTATTTGCTTATTCTTGTTCTTGGTTCCTAAACTGCTAATAGTTTCAAAGATTTTTGAAATTTTTGATTGTTCTTTAAGAGTGGTAAAGGCTTTACTTCTTTCCATGGCTGACCAACGGTTTCACTGCCTTATCCCCTAGGTCTTACTACTAGGACCACCAACACAAGAAGATATGGCTTCTTCGAAAAATATGAATATTTTAAAGAAGTGACTACATATTTACCCAATTACAAACTGATTACTTTCATAGCCTCTCAAAACATTACCTGGATTGTTACATGGGATTATATATTTATACAACCTTATGACCATATTCCATTAAAGATTCTTGCAAGATGTATTAAAGTTAAATGGTGGAAGAAATTTGAAGACCTATTCAAATGAATTCACAATACTTAGAATATTTCAAAAAAGAAATCCAAGAATATTTAGAAAAAGGATTAATTAGACCATCAAAATCCCCTTGGAGTTGTTCTGCTTTTTATGTATTAAATGCAGCAGAATTAGAAAAAGGAGCACCAAGATTAGTTATTAATTATAAACCTCCCAATAAGGTATTAAAATGGATTAGATATTCTTTACCAAACAAACAAGATCTTATTAAAAGATTATATCATGCAACAATATTTTCAAAATTTGATATGAAATCCGGTTGTTATCAAATTGGGGTGAGAGAGGAAGATAAATACAAAACCGCCTTTAATGTTCCTTTTGGTCATTATGAATGGAATGTAATGCCATTTGGATTAAAAAATGCCCCATTAGAATATCAAAACATTATGAATGATATTTTCTATCCTTATATGAAATTCGCATTAGTATATTTAGATGATGTACTAATATTTTCAAACTCTATTAATCAACATATAGATCATTTACATACATTTATTAATTTAATAAAAGAAAATGGATTAGTTGTATCAGCTAAAAAGATTAAAATATTCCAAACAAAGATTAAATTTTTAGGTTATGAAATTTATCAGGGAACAATAACGCCAATCCAAAGATCAATAGAATTTTCGGACAAATTTCCAAATGAGATAAGAGATAAGACCCAACTTCAAAGATTTTTAGGTTGTGTCAATTATGTAGCAGACTTTATTCCCAACATTAGAATTATTTGTGCACCACTTTATGCACCCCTCAGGAAAAATCAAAAACCTTGGGATGATGAAATGACTCAGGTCATTATTAAAGTTAAGCAAATAGTCAAAAGATTACCCTGTTTAGGGATACCTGACCCTGAAGCATATCTTATTGTCGAAAGTGATGCGTCAGACTTAGGATATGGGGGAATATTAAAATAAAAAGTCTTATCAGCCTTAAAAGAACAAATTGACAGATATCATTCGGGTATTTGGCATCCAGCTCAACAAAAGTATTCAACAGTCAAAAAAGAAATTTTATCAATTGTTTTATGTCTTCAAAAATTTCAAGATGATTTATTTAACACATTTTTTTATTAGAACTGATTGTAAAGCAGCACCTTCTGTTTTACAAAAAGATGTTAAAAACTTAGTTTCAAAACATATTTTTGCAAGATGGCAAGCATTATTATCCTGTTTCGATTTTGAGATTGAGCATATTAAAGGAGAGACAAATACTTTACCAGATTACTTAACCAGAGAGTTTTTACAGGAAAATGAGCAAAAGTTCTAAAGATCAATATAGGACGCCATTCAAGGCCTCTCCCAGCATCAATACAGTTAAACAGGCAAAGCCTGAAGCTTCAAGAAAATTATCAGCATCGCCGAGTACTTCAAGAAAGTACCAGCATCACTCAATAGTAAGACATCACCAAACCCCTCAACCTTTTTAGAAGCAGCCACTTCGTCACTATTATTTCATAATAAATTTGACCCAATAGCAGCATTAGACCAAGACCCTGAGCCTAGTTCGATGCCATCTCCATCCAAACAGTTATCCCAAACACCATCCAAAAATATTACTCACAATACCTTACCTATACCTACCCCTTCCAATTCAATATCTTATGAAGAATCTTACATTACCAAAGACCAAACCATAGACATTATTCCAATAGAGCCATAATGGAAAGATTTAACCCTTGAACAATTACTCAATACTCTTTTTCCAAAAGACTACCATTACCCAAATCTTTTCCAGCCAAGAATTTTTTATGAATTTATCCTTGTTGACACAGACTTAATAGAATTGTATCACAACAAAGACAAAAACAACAATATTCAGTTTTCAAAAATCAAAATCCTCAAGATCATTTCTCTCGAAGAATGGGGACAACCCCTTTTTAAACCAAAATCTTTTTCAAGACAATTCCATCCACAAACCTATACTTATTATGATTACACAACAGCCTGGACATATATGTTATACCTTCAATCCAAGACCCACTCCTGGTTCTTCTGGTTCAGGAGAGGAATTTCGTTAAAATTTCCAAAATGGTTTCTTCAATGGTTTTACCAATGGGGACCCATTAAGGAATTATTCCCAACAGAAGTCTCCAAAAAATATGAATATTTTAAAGAAGTGACTACATTTTTACCCAATTACAAACTGATTACTTTCATAGCCTCTCAAAACATTACCTGGATTTTTACATGGGATTATATATTTAGACAACCTTATGACCATATTCCATTAAAGATTCTTGCAAGATGTATTAAAGTTAAATGGTGGAAGAAATTTTATTTAAATCTAATTAGTAAATCAAGAATTCAAGAATGGGCGAAGACTAACTCTCCCACCTTAGTTCTTCAGCAACAAAAGAAGAGAATAGCTGAGGATGCTCAATTTCTAGCTGAAAAAAGCAAGATTATGGAAGAACTAGCTTCTGCCAATTCTCAAGAAGAATTTGAATCAAGATTAAAATTAATTCGTGCCCTTCAAGATGACTCTCAACCCGAGGAAACAGGATCTTCGGACTCAATATCTACTAGTCCTTATCTTTGTAATGAAGATATGTTTGACTAAATCAAGACTATTAAAGAAGACACGTGTATGGTTATTATCCTGCCGACATATGACGACAAAAGAAACAGCCTTATCACAAGACGACAAGAAGAATCGACTTTATTGGATTCCCTTATCCTCCGAAGTCCTTTTGTAAATAATTGTACTTTTTAGTCTTTCCTGCTTTACCCTTAATAATTCATGGTGTGAGATACCCTTGTTTGTAAATTTAGAGTGCTAGGTTTGCCTATATAAGGAGAAGTTCTCCTCCATTGTAAATCATCAAGTGTTTAGCTTGCAATATAAATCTTGTTATAAAAATTATCTTTGAAGAAAATCTCTCTTTGAGTAACAATCTCTTACAATAATCTTTTGTAAGTACTCTTTTATAAACTCTGATTATATGATGATTTTTGCTTTCGCCGTATATATATATATATATAAATGTAACCGCTTTTTGGTCTCCATTTTTTATTGGACCATTATACTTCCAAATGTAAAAAAAAAATCTTAAATTTTCTTTAAATAATTATACATAACTTTTTAATATTTTATTAATGAATAACTATTAGAGACACGAAGTGCCTCTACCCCTCTAATATATATTACTTTAATCCATGCTTGTAAATATAATTATGTAAAGCACAATTTTTTTTTATCTATATTTTAACAGTTGTTATATAGAAAATAAATATAAACTAAAACTAAATTGAAACTATTTAAAAGAAAACAACTGATTAAATATATTTTAAACATGAACATTTAAAATTATCACATAAATTGACTTTTGGATTTCTCAAATAAAATCTGAACCGGGAAACAGTTGGGTTGGGTGGGTTTAGGGTTTAAAATTGAGATTTCCAAAAACAGCTTAGTGCTTAACGACGGGAAGAGAAATGAAACGATGGGAACTACCATGATGAGATGTTCCCACGCCAACGCTCTCTTCAGAGTTCTCAAATCCAAACCCAAACCCCGCAATTCACTTCCACTTTCTTCATTGCATATCAACCAAGGTAAGTAAGTACCCTTTTCCTTTATTATTATTTTGTGATGTTGATTTTTGAATACTTTAATTGAGTTGTTTTTGTGTGTGATTGACAACACAAACATCAGGTACTAGTGGGAAGGCATATGATGCGTTGCTGTTGGATGCCGGGGGCACCCTTTTGCAATTGGCAAAGCCAGTTGAGGACACTTATGCTGCTATTGGATCCAAATACGGTACACTATTCTCTTTTTGTAGTGTTTTTGGAGGACCCCAAATACATGTTTTCTCATAATATATGTTACTCTTGTTACAAGACTCTCCATGTTCCTTCCATTTGTAACATATTTATCATTTCGGGATAATTGTGTATACTATGTCTGTCTTCAGGTGTGACTGTCAATCCTGCTATGATAAAGCAAGGATTTAAGAGAGCATTTGCTGCTCCTTGGCCTGAAAAGCTACGCTACCAGGTCTATCGCCTACCTTTGTTCTTTTTTCTTCTAATGTTTCGCATGATTGCCCATTAAGTTTGGATGTCTTTCTGTCAATCATTTTTTGTTTTTGTCGTTGTTGTTGGGTTGAAGATCTCACCTGCACAAGTAATATTACTAAAATACTAAAATAGTGTTTAGAAGTGAGATACAACTATCACCTTGTATTGCAAAGTTGACTTAAATTTAAAATCCACATTTTAATAATGTACCAAAACTTATTCTAGTGGTGTTGGGCATATTGTGCCACTTGCTACTAGACTATCCACATATGTTCAATTTTGCAAACTTTATGCTCAAGGAGAGAGCGGCAAACTTCACACTTGAGAATAGAGAAGTGTGTTGGAAGGATCTTACATCGTCTAGTATTATGATCAAGGTAGTGTTTATAAGTGAGAGACAATTTTCATCTTAGAAACGGGTTTTATAAGTTTAGTTGGGTCAATCCCACATTCTTAAGAGCTATTGTGTCATAACTCTGGAAACATAGTGTATATGATGTTATATAGAAAATGTGATTAATAATATGAACTGTCTCCACTCTTGACTCTCCACAAGCTTGCTGTTGTCTACAAGGAAAAGAAAGAGGAAAATGTTGTATAAATAAAGTTTACAGGATTGGTGTATTTGCTCAACTACTATGTCACTTTGAAGCCAGCTTTGTGTTATAGTATTATTGCCATTACAGGATATTGCTGTCACTGTGATTTTCTATTTTTTTACATATATTTTTTTCTAACATGAAACCTGACCACATTTAATTTCTTTCAACTTAATATGCAAACAGAAAGTCAGCCGATGGGCAAATGGAATGGGAGTAATATAAACTCTTTAATTTTTGTTCACTACAGGGAGATGGGAGGCCATTTTGGAAACTTGTAGTTTCTGAAGCCACTGGTTGTGGAGATGAAGATTATTTTGAGGAAGTTTATGAGGTAGGGTTTCTCAGCAGCTTATTGTTCTATTAGACAATCCCTCATTTCTAATTTATGATGATTCTATCAGCAAAAGCTAATTTATCTGTATAATGATTTACTCTTTTTGGAAAAATCAATTTATACTTATTAAAAGGATTTTAAAACAAGATCCTGTGTCCATATTATAGGTTTTGACATTGAAGTTTCTTTTTCTTTCTTCTTGTTGGTTCTAGATATTATTGCTTACTTACCCAGGAAAATAGACTGGCAGGAGAATGTTTCAAAAGATACCAGCATTTGTGTTCAAATTAATAATGAGGTACATTCGAGTTTGAACTTTAATGTTGTTTGTGTCAGTACTATGCAAAAGGTGATGCGTGGCATCTTCCAGATGGAGCTTTTGAAACAATTACTCTTCTCAAGGATGCTGGAGGTTACATAATTATTTCCTTTATCTTGAGCAATTAACATTGTTAACCCTATCATTTATCTACATACTTCGAAGTTTGTTTTTACTAACATGACAAGCAGTGACGCAGTTAAGATGGCTGTTGTATCCAATTTTGACAACCGCTTAAGGAAGCTATTGAAGGATCTTAATGTTTTAAATCTGTGAGTATCAGTCATTCCTTCAATGTGCAGAAGTTTAACTATGTAGCAATTTTGAACATTTTATTGGCATCTTTGAGGTGTTCATCTAAGATTGCTTGTTGATGCTTAATTTAAAGAAATTTCACAATGTCTGCTGTTTACATAACATTTAAGGTATTGTTTTCTGGTTTCCACCTCAGGTTTGATGCTGTCATTATATCATCAGAGGTTGGATATGAAAAACCAGATCCAAGAATATTCCAAGCAGCTCTAGGTATATATTATTATTAGTTTACAATGCTTAGTATCTTTCATCTTTGTAACCTGCTCTCGGCTTTCTTGTGAAATATGGTAGATATTGAGTTGTCAATTACGGAACCTTTGTTTGCCAGGCTTTTGTTTTGCATCATTTTGCATCCTTTAATATCTAATGCCTCCTTCGTGCTTGATAGTTGGAGGTACTTTATGAAAAGATCACAGTCAAAATCAAACAGCATTTTTTTTTTATTCTTTTCTGAGGAGATATCTGCAGTATACAACTGCTAGAGTATGTAAGAAACTACAAGTAAACAACAACTGCCACACTTTATTTGGTCTTTGTAAAAAGCATTAGTACAATAAATGAATCACACATAAATTAACTGTTTATGGACATGACTTAATATCTTTTTACCACTTTTGGCTGTAAAAAAAATATTAGAAAACATATACTACGCTTTGTTTGGCAATGATGCTTAAGTTGATTGACTCTCGTTTCCAATGTTTTCCGTTTTTCCTAGATCAAGTAAAAGTAGAGGCTTGCAAAGCCTTACACATTGGAGATGATCAAAAGGCAGATAAACTGGGGGCAAGTGCTGTGGGGATTGATTGCTGGTAAGAGTTTCTTGTCTAAAGTAATATTGTCTTTTTTTTTTAATAAAGAGGTATAACTCTCCTAATATGTCAATCCCTATAGTAAAGTGCGCGTTAATATCAACAGAATAGTTTGTCTGGTCGATCATTTCATGATATTCTTTTGTTGGATTTTAAATTAATTTTTATATCTCATTGTTTTAAATTAATCCGTCAAAGCAGGTTATGGGGTATTGATGTGAAGACATTCTCTGATATACAAATTCGCATCCTCAATTCCGACGCATAACCCTTAATGTGGTTTGTAGCTCTGATTTGTTCACACCGATAACTAGCATTTAATTAGGTGGATGATTAATGTTATCCTCCTCAATTTTTTATGCATGATGCTAAAACATAGATGTGATGAACTTGGTTTCCAAGTTTGGTTAATAATATGTTGCCCCAGAAATGATGATACTCGTTACAAAGGAAACAAGATTTTATCCTTCATATGTGCCTCATATCTATCGTCAATTAACCTAATTTTAACCATAATATACAAAAGGAATGGCTCTTAGCGTCGTTAACGCTCGAGCTAGGAGAGTTGTGTACCTTCTAGATCTCTAATTGACCGAACTGGCTGAGTAATGGCTCTTGGCGTCACCAACACAAGAGCCCGGAGGGCTCTGCACCCTTCTGACCCTGAGTCGGCTGAACAAACTGAACAACATATACTTTCTTGATCCCCATCTGACCGAGCAACCCAAACTATGACCAGTGAATGACGTATTAACGAGTGATTTCCAATAGAATTAGTCAAGGTTGTGATTTTCAGGATTCTTGCATAGACTTGATTACAATTATAAATACGATTCATAGACTCATTATAGAGAGGGATTCGGGTGCAGTTTAGGGGATCATGATCAAAGATTCGTGTCAGGGGTATGAGACCCATATAAATAAGGAGAAAGGGGATTGGGGAAAGACATATTTTTCTCATTCTTGAATGTTCTAGGTCAGGACGGCAGTTAGGTTCTTTTAGGGTTCACTTCACTAAGGGTTCTCCGGCTGCTATCCCCTTTTATATGACTAATTTCACTGAAATCAACAAGCTTTAACAGTTCTAGATAAGACATCTATACAACTTCCTGTTACTATCATTTCTTTCCAAAAATTCTCGCTGAATGAGAGACTCAATCCGTTTCTTTATCTACCGGAATAACATCATCACCTTGTCAAGAGTAACTCCATTGAGGCCTTGCCGCACCTTATCATCTACGAATAGTGAAATGAACTCTTGAAAACGGGGATTCAAGTTAATGAAATATTCAAATGAGGAATTCAAAGCATTCTGGAAGAACCCATCTTTATTAAATGCCAAATTTATAATCTTGTCATACTTCTCTTTCTCGTCTAAGAGCCTCTGCACAAATTCAACAGGATCCTTCAACCTTTCAGGATCCGTGACAAGCTGTTTACCAGACTCTCTGTTATGTGAAGTCATCACTTCAAGTATTTTTGAGAGACTGTCAGTAACACGACGGAACAGGTTATACATTCTACCCAAATCATCATATTTATCATAACAAAGCATGCTTACCAACCCAGAATTCTCCTTATGTATTAATATAAGCATGTAATTTTCAATCATCTCCTTCTTTACCACATTAGTTATTTTCTTTCCTGTCCCGGGATCCAAGTAATGGTTCACTCTATCCATTTCCTTATTCAGACGCTTCTCAGAATTCTTTAGATAATCCCCACAAGCACAACACTCAATAAACTTTTGGGATTCTGCTCGGTAGAACTCAGCTGAAACTTGAAGAAAATGAGTCTCAAATTCTTGCTCATAAACAGAAGGACCTAAATCCATTAACATCATTGTTATATTTCTAAACAGCCCTCTATTAATAACTTTCCCAGCACGTTCACCACACACCAATTTCAAAAGTTTATTCTACAGTTGGGTCTTTATCTGGTTTGAATACATAAACATTCTCTTTCCACAAATTCAAGCCAAGTTGATGAAGAGGGGTTTTACCAGCATCCGGGATGTAAGTCCTATCCATGTACATCATAATGTCTCTAATCATATCTGATGCCTTATTATGATCACTCCATTTCCTGTTCATTTCTTCCAGAAAAGAGCCTTCTAGAGTGGCTTCAATAGACCTAGCTATCTCTTTGAGATGAGCAGTCAGCCCCGAGTATAGCTTCTCACCGAATTTGTGAAAAACCATATTATATGCATTTCTGAATCCACACAATAATGAAGCAAAATAGTTTGTTAGAAACATGAAATCCATTGTCCTCATGAGTCATGAAAAGAAATAAAAACAACAACGAACACAGTTTTGAGAACAAAAATGGATTTTCAATATGGCTTACTGGTAGCACAAATGGGCAGTATGTAAGCTGTGTATGGACTGCAGTGAATGCTATTCGCAAACACTTCTATGCAAATTTTGTAGCGGCCCACCAGTGCACCACTATAGTGGCACTATAGCACACCATCAATAACTACGGACAAAAGTTCTGTATCACATTACTGCGTTAAATGACTTCATTTACAACTGAACCATATATTTGCAATTTGTTCTATGTTGCTACCACTATAATTTGCAACTTGTTCAACATTCCGAAATTTCATGACATGCCAAACTAAGGTTTCGTAAATTGATGCAAATTCTGATGTTTAACTCTGTCCTTCTAATTAATCAGCCAAATTATCTTCCTAATTACTTATGAAGAAAGTATTAAATGTTTTTTTTGTATCTAACATGTTACATGCTACTTCCTCCGTTTTTTTTCATAGATGTTTTGACACTATTTTTTTTGTTCAATTTTCATTATCACTTTTCTAAAATCAATAACTTGTTATTATTATTTTTTATTTTTATCCTTGATAATTAATGTGTGTTTACTAAATAATATGTTTATTCATTTTTAATGTACTTATTTCTTCTCCAATCATCTAAAGGGTATAAAAGGAAAGTAAGTAATAAATACTTTTAAAAATTGAAATATCATTCATTTTCTTAATTCATGTACAAAAACCTTAAATATACAAAAAAAAAATAGAGAGAGTACTCCATCTATTTTTTTTAATTGTCACTTTTTTTTAGTAAAATTGAATTTATTTATTTGTTGTTTTAAAACTATTAATTACTATTTTATTAATTATATCCTTACATCTTATCTATCTTTTAATTAATTTAAACACTAACAATTAAAACACATTTATTACAAAACAAATAAAAGAACATAAAAGAAAGCATTAAAGTCACTTTATGAAAGACGAGGAATTTTTTTTTTAATTTTTTTTATCAATAATCTATAACTATCTATCCATATCTGTTATAAAAGAGATACGATTTAGTAATTATATCCTTAGTCTCTATTTTTTAATTAGACATTTTTACACTTAAACCTAATATATATCCTTTCATCTTCTCTTAAAAACTTCCACGTATAATTTTCTGTTTTTGCTACTAATTATATACAAAGGCATATCTTTCCATAACTACTTTTTTAACTTACACTTTCATTGGAAAAAGTTATATAATCTATAATTATTGTAAAGGACATACCTTTCAATAGCATGTATACTAAATATTTCATTGGAGACAATTATACTCTCAAACAACAATTAAAAAAAATAACATGTAACTATATATTTATTTTATTTTCTAATAGAGGCACAATACTAGTGTATAATAATTACCTTAAACTATTAAAAGGGAAGGGGTTACAACTCTTCATTCAATACTTTTAGTTTTACAGAAGTGAAGTGCTAAATTGTACTCTCTCCATTTTTATTTTTATTTTTTATATTTAAGATTATGCACAAAAATTAAGAAAATGATTGATATTTTAGTTTTTTAAAGTATTTATTACTTATTTTTCTGTTATACCCTTTAAGTAATTGAAGAAGAAATAGGTATATTGAAAAATGAATAGATATATTATTCAGTAAACACTCATTAAATATTAAGGATAAAAATGAAAAAGAAAATTAATAAGTCATTAATTTTAGAAAAATGACAATAAAAAAACAAAAAAATAACGTGAAAACGAGTATAAATAAAAAACGCAGGGAATATTCCTTGTGAAATGACATGCAAAATGAGTGTAGGCATATAACGTCTTTAATGTTGAATGCCAGCTTGACAATGTTGTAAAAAGCAAAGAGTTCCATTCATAAAATTTCCACAGGCATGACATTTGTGGTTGAATTCGAGAAAATGATTTCATGTGAAATACCGGTGTTAATATGTTAAGATGCATTACTCAATTCTTATACATCCCTATTTTCTTTTCTTTTGGTAATCTGCAGCCTTCATGCAAGAATCTTATAACCTCATTTAGCCCCATGACTTGATAAAAAAGGGATATCATGCGAATAAAAGACACATTAAAAAAATAAGAATCATGAGAGAGAATGAAGGGAACCTGTGAAGCTATTCAAAGCTGAGACCACTAACATTGTGATTGTATATCTCATGAATTCCATGTTCCAGAATGGTCCATGTCTTGTCGGCATCAATGCCTTCCCGTTGCTTAAACTCTTGTAGTGGAAACTTCCTCTTCTTCTGGTTACTCATTAAAAGGGTGATTCACCATTTATCCACGTATCAAGCTCAATAATGCTGGGTATGAAGGGATGTATTGGGAAAAATTCAAGTCTCACATCGACTAAAGATTAGACAATTGAATAGTATATAAGTAGAAAACAAGTCTCACCTTACAAGTCGGAGCATAATCCGCTATTATAAGAGATGGTACAAACAGCACTACGTGAAACACTATCAAATTTAATAGAGCAGACCCAGAGAGAGAAGAGAGAGCTTGAGTGTGAGAGATGTGAAAAATAATGAGGTAGAGAGCTCGAGAGTCGTGCAAAAATTATGTGAAAAATTAGGAGAAAAATTTTAAAAATCTTATAAAAAATAACCGTTTAGAATAAAATATTTTATTCTAAAAAATTCGATCAACAACAGATAAACTTTGATCAACATAACGAAAATAGATAAGATTTGAAGATTGAGTTAGCACTAAAAAAAATGTAACTAGAAAATAATCATGATAAGATTTTAATTTTCATCATTCTTTAAATATTTTATTTAAATAAGTTAATTCAAAATTTTTAAATTTTAAATTCTTAATTTAGATAAGGTATTTTATTTTTCACCAGTAGATAAAACTAAATTTTAAAGATTAAATTTTATTAAACTAATAATTTTAAAAATTATTATTAGATAATATTTAATAATTTAAAAATTGTTAATTTTTTATTTATGTCAACCTTAAAAAAAGAGAAGAGGGAGAAAGGAAAAAAAAAAGAAAAAAATTATTTCAAATCTTTTGTAAATTTTTCACTCAAATAAAATATTTAAAATTAAAAAAATTTGAATTACTTCATTAAAATTCTCTATCCAAACACATGTATCTTAATGTAATTTTCAGTCATAATGGGCTTCATCAACATGATAACAAGCTGGTTGACTATT